TTTTTATTTTGTCATCTAATATATCTTTACATATTACAGAATTTCCCTCAGTTCAATAAAGAAGCCATCTAAATAAGCTCTAGGACTGTCAGCAGCATTTCTCAGTCGCCTACTGGAGGCACCTACTGGATAAAAGTGAAGCAAGCAGCACAAGTTGGTGAATCTGCATGTTTGGCGCCATCTCAATCAAATACATGCACTGAACTGTGCTTTGTGTACTGTAGAGTGCGAGAGCTGGCGATACTAGGCCCTAATGTCAGCTGTACCAAATTACCACAACAGGGGTTACAAATAATCTCAGCCTCTGCGTGACACATGCCGCGTTTCATTCAATTCAGAAAGTTGGAATTTACACCCTCACACTCAGAAAAGTGATAGAATATGAAAATGTCACATTTCCAACCTCCTACTTGGAAAATTCCAAAAGAATGCCACTTGACAGCGTTCTTCCAACTTGGACAATGGAATGCTATACGGTTAGAATTCGGAAATATTAAGGTTGGAATATCCCACATTCAAACACTTTCACACTTTGAATGAAACACAGCATTTCTACATTTTATAAATAAGAACAAGAATTGCCGAACAGGGGACCCCATAGAGGAAGTGTTCTAGAGCAGGTGGGGCGCGCTGCTGCAGATGGCCGCAGACATGAGTGCACACAGGAGGAGTCGTCGAGCGAGGGGTGAAGCAGTACCTGCACTGAGCCTCCGTGCCTGTCCGCTGCCAGGTGCGAGGTCAGGTAGGAGGAGTTTGTCTGGCGGTTGGGCTGCACCTCCCAAGCTCCTCTGCGGTCGGAGATGGCCGTCTGTGCGGATGGAGGTGGTGCGGGAGGAGGCGCAGGAGGGGGGAGGTGTGGTGAGTGAGCGAGAGCGGGCGGAGTGAGGCCAGGTGGCATGCAGCACAATGCAGGAATGGAAATCAACAAGAAACAAAAAGAGCCAGTCAAAGCCAGGAAACGGCATTAGTGACTGTGGACCAGTCGTCCAATCAAACCAAGAAGCAAACACCACAAAATAAACACAAGGAGACGTTAAAACAGAGGAAACTCAAGAGAAAACTTTCTGAAAGCTGTTGAATGCCAAGTGGACACTACATGTAGCAAATCAGGTATCCAACACCGAGTTCCGACTGAAATATCTGACAGCATAATTTCAATAATTAAAGGGATAGTTCAACCAAAAATAAAAATTACCCCATGATTTACTCACCCTCAAGCCATCCTAGGTGTATATGGCTTTCTTCTTTCAGATAAATATAATCGCAGTTACAATAAAAAATGTCCTGGCTCTTCCAAGCTTTATAATGGGAGTGAATGGTGGTCATCCATCCATCATAAAATGTACATATGTCACGGCTCTGGAGGGTTTAATAAAGGTCTTCTGAAGTGATGCGATGCATTTGTGTAAGAAAAATATCGATATTTAAAATGTTATGAACCGTAATCTCTAGCTTCCGCTAAATGTCGTACACACGTTAACGAGAAAGTGGCATTCCAGTGGATGACGTAGGACATAGATGTAGCATAAGCTCCGGTGAGACATGACGAAGGGAAGCGAGGAGGAGAGAGCAAAACAAAACACTGGTCACAAATTATAAGTACAAAATGAGGATTTGTAAAGAAACATATCAGAGGATTTCGATCTAAGCCAAGAGGAGACTGGCTTTCCTTTGGTTGGTTCTCACGACACTAGCATATTCTCACCGGAGCTTACGCTACGTCCCATGTCTTCCTCTAGAACACCACTCTCTCGTGTACACAAGTACAACAGTTAGCAGAAGCTAGAGATTACATAAAGTTTATAAAGTTTTTATTTTTCTTACACAAACACATCAATTTGCTTCAGAAGGCCTTTATTAACCCCCCGGAGCCATGTGGAGTACTTTTTATGATGGATGGGTGCACTTATTTGCGCTTCAAAAGCTCAACCACCATTCACTGCCATTATAAAGCTTGGAAGAGCCAGGACATTTTTTTATTAAACTCTGACTGCATACATCTGAAAGAATAAAGTCATATACACCTAGGATGGCTTGAGGGTGAGTAAATCATGGTGTAATTTCCATTTTGGTGAACTGTCCCTTTAAGAGAACTAAAATACTATCTACAGCTATGTTTCGCATAAAATTCATCCTGATGGCTCATATTCTGCCATTTATAAGTGGACAAGATGGCATTAACAGAAAGCTCAACACATTCGGAGTCAGACAAGAAACACAAGGACAAACATACAAAAAAAATCCAAATTCAATTTCTGAAACTGCAGTGTGCAGTATACAGCTTCAGGACAACCCCCTAGTGAATCACTAGTGTGAATGTGAAAGTGTTTTGTGTTGGACACGATAGTTTGGTAGTTTGAAAATATAGCGGAAAATATCATAATTCACTTAATTACTTTTGCATTTAGTGGCAGGATTGAAGTAACTTTGAAGATGTGTTTATTGATCCATTCATTTTAAGCAGAGATATTTTTTTAGAAATTAAGAGTCCTAATCTACTGTTTCCTAAATTATGATGATATTAGGAAACAAATATTTACATTTTAAAAATCGATATATATTGTGAACAGTTTTATATCTGGAACGCTGGTTCTAGACACACGACCAAAAACATAAGGTACAATGGGGTTAAAGGCACATCTTCAGGAAAATGTGTTTTTCACTACTCACACAGTGTATGACTTCAGAGAAAATACACACTATATGGACAAAAGTATCAGGGGCCGGTTGCACCAGCTGTACGTAAGTTACAACTTAGCCTAGTTTTGACGTAAATGGGCACTAAGTTACAACTTACGCACTACTAAATATTTTTTCGTTGCACCATTACACTTAGTTGAGGTGTAACTACATATAAACTAAATATTATGGAAGCGTCTGGTCAGGAGTAACGGTTGGAATAAAAAAGCAGATTGAGTGAACTGCATCAATATGCTGTTCTTTTACCCGACAACCTTCAATCCTTTAGGCATATATGATGCTGCTGACATTTACACTCACGTACATATTAAGAGAGAGAACAATGTGAATAAACGTACTTTGTTTCTTTTTTAGCGCGTCTTCAACACCCCACATCTACAGTGCGCCTCTGTGCGCTTCGGTCCGTGTTGCGCATGTCAGATTAAATAAATAAATGGCATTTCTTATGTATTTTTTTTCTTTCAGTATTTATTGATCCTTATTTCAATTACAGTTTCTGAATGTTATTTACACATAAAAATAGCTTGCATATAGACTAATGTTACTAATATATAGTTTTTAATGGAAACTTGTTTATATTTTTACCGTTAGTATACGCGAGGTAAAATAAGTTAGAATGAAGGATAAATTAAAATTCATAGCATTTAAACAAGTTCTGCTCGCATATTTGAAGGTTTCTATTGGATGATTTAGGGTAAACGTCAAATTATGCGACTACGCATTACTTTACAGAGAGTTTACTAACTACTTACTACGTCCTGCCTTACGAACAGCTGGTGCAACCAAATAATGTATAGATTTAGTTACAAACTAGCTAGTAGTTACTAAGCCTCTAGTGTGGACTTAACGTTCTAATTTAAGTAAGAACTTACGAAAGGCTGGTGCAACCCTACCTAGGACACCTGACCATTACATCGACAAGGACCTTAATGACATTGAATTCTAAATACATAGACATCACTATGGAATTGGGTCCCCTTTGTAATAATAGCTTCCACTCTTCTGGAAAGCCTTTTCACAACATTTTAGAGTATTTAAGTGGGAATTTTTGCCCATTCATCCAGTAGAGTATTTGTGAGGTCAGGCACTAATGTTGGATGAGAAATCTGGCTCGCAATCTCTGTTCCACTTCATCCCAAAGATGTCCGATGGGGTTAAGGTGAGGGCACTGTGAGAGCCACTCAGGTTCTTCCACGTCTTTATGGACCTTGCGTTATGCACTGGGGCACAGTCATGCTAAAATAGAAAAGCATTGTCCAAAATGTCTTGGTATACTGAAGCGTAAAGATTTCCCTTTACTAAAAGTAAGAGTCCCAGCCCAACCCCTGAAAATCAGCCCCATACCACTATCCCATCTCCACCAAACTTTCCAGTTGGCATAATGCAGTCTGGCAGGTTACGTTCTCCTGGCATCTACAAAACCATCAGACTGCCAAACAGAGAAATGTGATTAATCACTCCACAGAACATGTTTCCACTGCTCCAGGATCCAGTGGCAGCATGGTTTACACCACTCCAAGACGCTTGGCAAAGCACTCCATTAAGCTCCCGAACAGTTTTTGTGTTGTTATTAAAGCCAGTGGAGGTTTGAACTCTTCAGCCATAGAATCAGCAGAGCATTGGTGACTTATGCACAATGCACCTTAATGTCACATAAATGTCATTGAAAATAATCCCATAATAATTTAATATGGCTTTACACCAATAAATATGATATTTATATAATTGATATATTTTTTAAATATGATGGTTTCATTATAAATATGGTGATTATCTCTGAGGTGGTCACCCAACTTAATAAAAGACATCAACTATGTGAATCTATCCATGTCATGCCAACAAATGGAAAAGTCAGCCAGCTATTTATCAGTTACTGTGCCTTTAGTTCTAACAGCAGGGGCAGTTTTTTTACCCTAAAGGTACCCAAAAGTGAAAATTCTGTCATGATTTACTCACCCTCAAGTTGTTACAAACCTGTATGAGTTTCATTCTTCTGTTTTAGCCACTGACTTCCATAGTATGAAGAAAAGAATCTATGGAAGTCAACGGCTACCAGCAACTACCCACATTCTTTAAAACATATTGTGTTCTACAAAATAAATTAATTCATACAGGTTTGGAACCTCATTAGGGTGAGTAAATTACGACAAAATTTGAGTGAACTATCCCTTCAAAAAACATACTTTTTCATATTGGAGTAAAACGAAGCCTAATTTTCATTTTTGGGTGAACTAACCCTTTAAGTTACTGAACAACTTTTTAATTAATTATCTTTAACAAAACTGAAAATCATTAACAAGAGCTTTGTCTTAAAATATACTTGGTAATTTTATTGAATAAATCTATAACACATTAGATCAAATTAGCACCGAATCAAATTTGGGTTGCTGTCCGTGATCACATCAAGGATCAGCCAAATTTCCACATGCATATTTTGCATATTTGGTAGTGCTGGGCGGTATGACTAAAAATTTATATCACGGTATTTTTCAAAATTATACCGGTTTCACGGTACATGACGGTATTTTTTTTTCATGCATGACCGGGTGTTAACC